AGAGAAATATAATAATGAAAAATATTTTCAAATATTTATGATAAAAAATATTCGATTTCGCAACTTTTCTACTCTCTTTCCGCGTATTTGCATAAACATTTGCGATCTGTTTACGACGCTTAAATCCCTGACAAAATTTTCTTGATCGTCGCGCAAATGTCCTATTTTTAGTGCCTCTAAGCAGGTGCTATTTTGCGTCGTGAGAAATTAGACATAGACAGAGGTTTCGCTACACGTGTCAACGTGTAATCGACGGATTACGGATAGTATAAACGGCACTATATGAGCAGTCCTATCGATGGCCAAGCCATAAAAAATTCATCAGGGGAGGAGCTACAACGCTCGCGATCGTCGCTACTCGCTACTCGTAGAGAACTCGACGTCACGCGGCTAGGGTCCGATGCAATACACGATATATTTTAGAGGAGATTACTTTGAAGTATATTTTCTGACGAAAGATTAGACTCCGTAGCGTGAGATTTAGGTCGTATACGCAGGTTTGATTCCTTTAATAACATATCATAGATTTGTATCGATCTACATAGGATTCGCGCGGTGGAGATGCATATTTTTTTATTTGCGAGGCGTTATTCGCGCAATTGAAATGATGTCTTCTTAAAGGGCGGCTTAGACTTAATGCATTAACGAAATAGTGTCACCGAAGCATATAGTGTATACGATATCGGAAATTGTACAGAAATATATATACATATACATATATATATGCATATATATATACACCATGTATTTTTTTTTAATCGTGATGTATTTATATATATATAGAAAATGGGCGAGTACAGCGAATCAATGTGATGATCTATTGACCGGCGGTAACATATATTATTTTAATTCCTATCACTGGGAAGATGCACCAAGCACACACGCATGGCTGCACAGAATAAATAATATCTTTGTATGTATTGTGTATCTCTTATTTTTACATACCCTTTCCTCCCACCCCATAATGCCGTATTTATGTAGCAATAATGGATTATTTTCCTGACCAAAGAGATAAAATCATATTAGCCACAAAAATATCAAGGTTTAAATTATTAAATAAATTTACAGATCGATGAAATTGTTAAATAGATTGAAATGACATCAACCGTATGAAAACGTTATATTTTTATATACAAACAAGAGCTGTCTACAGACACGCGTGTCGATTTATTACATTAGCAATATTGCGCATCACCTGTTCGGTGTTTAATAGTTTAACAACAATTTGTACCTTTCCACTAATCCTTCACTCGCACTATTTCGTTTTCACTTTCATCAGAATCGATGAACAACCGTTCCCTTGTGGACGACATTAATTTGAACACTACTGGAATTACAGTCAAGATGGGATTCTTCTGTTGTAGACATCGTATCCAGGACAGCAAAGAGTCTTTTGTAGATGTGCCGGTAGCGCACATTGCAAAGTACGTGCCATCGTCTTGTTCATGAACCGTAGGTGCAAGAGCTACTTCTTTCTTATCCCAGAAAGGTATTCTAATATTTGAAACGTCTGTAAAAGAAAAACATTTTCTATTAAAAAGTCTGCTGGAATACTAAATAATATATTGAAATATTTATATAATTATGCTATAATATGATTAATAATTATTATTTTAATATCTAATAATTATCACATATATGATAGTAATATAATTATATATAAGTAACGATCTCTAAATTAGTAATTATTTACCATCAGGATTTTCGCGAACGTTCTTTCTTTCTTTAGCTGTACCCTTCAGGACAAAATAATCTATACATTGATCGGCGACCCAAACTGTATAAGGTCCTTCAACAAAAATCGGGATATCACGAGGCTGCATTCGCAACAGTTCCTCCTGCATACTACTCATTGCGGATACGATCCAAGTATCCTCGATGGCATCCTCCACATCCTTGGTCTTGAAGTCTGTGATTATGGTCTGTACATCCACGCTGGAGATCTTACTCATCGCTAGTCTGGCGAGCACCCGCGGATCCTTAGGCGCCGGTCTGGGACAGGGCCAGGGATTCAGATTGGCGAACTTGGGCATCCAATACATCATCCTCCAGAACTTCTTCAACGGCAGCCCCTGCTGCCCGAAGATGTTGAGCAGCATCTCCTGCATCTCCAAGTCCGGCATCACGCAGTTGTGCTCCATCTTGCAGAGCAGATCGATGGCGATGAACTGCTGCTTGGGGTAGTGCATGAACAATGTCTGGTAGTAGTTGTGGGGGATAAACTTGCCCTTGGGTAGCACGTCCAGCAGGGACTTGTACACAGCCAGGTCCCGGTTCACGCCAAACTCGTCCATGTACTTTAGAGCTACCTTAATGAACTCCACGTGGCCGCGTCTCTTTTCGTTGTTACTCTTGTATTGACGCAGGATGTCCAGATAGGCCTCCTTCTCCTTCTTTTCAACGTTCGCGAAGGCGTGCAGCACGAGGGCCGACGGCTTGTCGTCCTTCTTGTCATCCTTCTTACGCCGTTCCTGGCTGGTGTGAATAGCGCGACTCAACGGCCGGCCCGTCGTAACAGCCTCGCGCAGCGGTTGCCTCAACAACGCGGTGACATTTGACGCGAGAACGTTCCGGATGATCTGCGAGATCATGTTGACCGACATACCCTTCTAGCACGTCATCTCCAGGCGACAGATTATAGTGTTTCGCTCACCAAGATCTTACGTCCGCGAGGTTATGGTATGCCGCGGATCCGTGATCCGTGGGGGCCGCCTAACCTCTCTTTTCAATTTCCTCTTTCGTATTGCGCGCCATTTTTGCGCATCAAGGTGCGATTTCATTGGTCGCGTTCAGCAGACCAAGCCGCTGAGTAGCAGTCGAACGTGATTGGCTCTTACTTTTAGAACCAACCAATCAACGCTTAGTGTTGATAAGACGAACTCAACAGTTGTATCTGCTGAACGCGGCCTGGCGTCAATTGACACGCGTCAAGACGATTTTCTGACGTCATGTTGTCTCTGCGTCGACGGCGTCGACGCTGAAGAAGTTCAGATTTCCCAACTTCTAGCGTCAAAACTGGCATCTCGACGTGAGTTCCAAAAATTGAATGTTGCATGTGAAAGCCTTTTTCATTAAGTATACTAATCTGACTTTACCCGAACTTGATTTCAAGCGTCAACTGACGCCCATATGAAGAGGCACCTTAAAGGTAGGCAACTTCAGAAGGTTCAGAAGTCTGTTGGATTGAGCGTTTACGCGTAAAGAAAATATAAAATAGTCTTCTTATTTTCGTTACTTATTTTTATTTTATCCGTATAAGTTGAATATTATTTACGTAAGTCATAAAAATATCCATCATGAAATATTAAATAAAATTAAATCAATTAATTCGTCTTTTTTGAAATCATT